ATAACTATTACTCAATCAGGTTCATGAATTCTTAATATTTTTACTAAAGCATGGTAGGAAAATGGATGCATGACAATACAGTATATTGACATTTCTCTTCAGTATATTTGTAAATATGTCAAAGAATCATTGTATATTAATTGTTCAGATGATTTGGATTGAGGAATAAAAGAAGTATGAAAAAATATCTATCTCATCTGCAAACACATAGTTTGGACTGCCATTTTAATTCCACACCACAAAATATAATATTCAAGGAAAGAAATTATTATTTCTTGTTTTCTAAATATGGCTTTATAAAAAAAAAAGGTGAGTTCATTCAGGGTTGCAAGATTATTGTAACTTACAATAACATAACTACTAGTATTCATGATTTTGTTTTCTAGTCTAGACAATCTCCAGAGCTTACATTCATCGTAGATTCAGATTGAGGAATAAATCAAGTAAAGTACCTAAAATTATCTATCTCTTCTGCAAACAAATGATACGTTGTTCATCATTGTATGGATTGCCACTTTATTTCCAAATCACAAAAAACTAATAAAAAGAAAAGTTGGTTTATTTTTTTTGTAAACATCACTTTGTAAAAGAAACAAATGGGAGGTACTTTAAGACTTGCAAGACTCTGTTATTGTAACCTTACAATAAAAGAATTATTAATATGAGTGATTTTGGTCTCCTACCCTGGACAATCTGGAAGGGATGACATTAACCTTGCAAGTAGGAAAACACTTTCCCTCCCCTGCCTTAAGTTTCCAGAGAATTGGGGCGGAGGGGGTGTCAATTCTGAGATGCTTTCTCAAAAAAACCCTCTGGTTTAGTCTCAAATTTCTTTTATCAGTCTTTTTTTTAAATAGGACTGCCGTTCTTCTTCCCATCTTTCAAGGTTATTCTTACAGTGTATACTTAGTCCAAGAAAAAAAATCTCACCTGGGGCATCTTGTAGACATTCAAGATGGTTGCCATGAAGGGACAGATGTAAGAGTTAGGTCCTGCAATAACAGATACTGCCCCGTCCTTGGCATCACACTTATAGTTGGGGATGAATCTGCCACGTGTTGAGAGAAGCTCCATTGAAGCCAAGGAAGTCAATCTCGCCATCAAATAACTGTTAGAGATGTCAATACCCAAGCTCATGTTGGATAATATAGCCATATTTTCATTTATCTCATTTACAGCAAAAACCAAGGCCAGGATATGTTGGTAGTTCTGCAGGAAAAATCTGGAAGAAAAGATATATTGTGTGGATCTAGGCAGGATGTTATGATTCTTTTAATTCATCATAAACAATTTTTACTAGAAACAGATAAATTGCTTGAAGAAAAATGATCATATTAAAACCCATATGTAATTCACTCACTCTCTCTCTCTCTCTCTCTCTCACTCACACACACACACACACATACATGTATATCTATATGTATATGTATATAGGTCTTTGGTTATTCGGGTTTTCTCCCACATCAAATTGGAAGTGTTTTGGCGACGTTTTGACGAAGTCTCATTCGTCATCTTCAGGCTGGTGTTTTTGGCTTCGTGCTTCTAGGAGCACTTCCAATTGGACATGGGAGAAAACCTGAATAACCAAAGACCTACATACAAACACCCGCAAAAACATATATATCCTTATATTTTCATCTTCTTCTGGGTTATGTTTTATGGCGGATATAGGTATGAAAAGTTTGTTTGGAGTAAACTTGAGAACCAATGTTATATTTTTGATCTTAGATATTTTACATATTTTTAGATGATAGATCTTATTCCAATAAAAGTCACTGATGTTTTATTAAGGCAGAGATACTCTAGGTCTGTGTTCCATGCATGCTCAACAGCTGTTTGGAAAATAATTCAAAGCATGCAACTGTTCCCTAATATTAAGTGAACGAATTAAATGATTAACATAGATTTAGCTACAAATAGTACAGCACCTTGATAGTACATCACTAACGATTCATTTAACAGTAAGAAAACAAGAAAATCCCAATATGGAATTTGAATAAAACCACCAGTGGGAGAGTTGTCATAAGTGTGTTTGGGTATTTATTTGCCAGGGCAAACTATTAGAGAAAGATATATGGTTTAAGATATGCTATAGTTAAGAAGAGAAAGTCTTTACATGAGCTCATCAACCAGTTCTTCAGATGGGTGCCTTGTGAAACCAACTGGATCCGATACCATGTAGAACTGAGAGAGTATCCCAGCCATTATTAAATCACCTGGCAGAAAATACTTGTGCTTAATAAAGGGAAGTTTCCCCACAGAACATGTTTTAGTACGCAGAATATGGCATGTAGCTCCTGACAGTAACAGTGACAACATTGCCATCACTACCATGGAAAATTCCATCTTCTTCAAGAAAGCACTTTTCACTAGAAATGAACCAGTTCTATCTATAAGAATGAAACATAAGGGGGGAAAACTCTCACTTATTAGAATAAATATTCTTTCTAAGAAAAAAGGTTGTTACATCTCTAACATTCTGATCCAACAATTAACAGACCCTTTCAATCTTGAGCTATTCTTTGGTGCTGTGCCTGAGAATTCCTGAAAGAGTTGAGAGAAAAAAACCAGATTAGTAAGATTCTTTGGGTAATTATAGGGGAAATCAGTGAATGTTTGGTGACGCTCCTTGGAGACTGTGGAGAAAGTAGAATGATGATATGTATGGGCTAGGAAAAAAAGAACTCATAACTGAAAACTGTAAAAGAGATAGAGAAACATGATGAAAATTCAGAGAAACAAATGCTAGTTCTGTAGCTGTAAACTTTACATTCTCTGGAACAATACAACTATCTGACTTTGACCTGTTAGGGCGTACATTAAAGCATTGACCCATAATGTTATAGAATCCCGACCACCTTTATTTATCTTTTTGATAGGTCTTTAAATACTTTGATTATTGTATTTGTAATGTAATTAAAAGGCCTGGAGGAACATTGTCCATGGGGTTGCGATGGGTCATTCATGACTTTGCCACTAACAAGAACAATATAATTAAATCATGACATTTCTTTTTAAGCTTTCTAATGGAAGCAGGCCTGTGAGCTGTGCAGAGTCCTTTGGGATGGGAACAGTGTGTAATGTCAAGTGAATATGCAAAAGGAATACCATTGGAAAAAATTTTTTCAATACTGTTTTTATTGCAAAATAAATATAGCTTGGCTCTTTTCACTCATTTTCAATGATTTTTTACTCCATATCCTCAAAGTCACATGGTGTGAACCATATATTTTTTGTCTGGCTTGATGAGTGACATGAGCAACCACCATTTATCCACCATTGATATTTTACAGCCCTGAAACAAATCTCTTTATCAATTGTATATGGGAAATGAAAAAAAAACAATACCTTGATAGTACATCACTAACGATTGATTTAACCGTAAAAAATTTAAAAAATTTAAATTTAAATCCTTCCTTCCTTCCTTCCTTCCTTCCTTCCTTCCTTCCTTCCTTCCTTCCTTCCTTCCACCCTCTAGGACCCATCAAATATACCTTTCTAGAAAATAAGAGCCATAGTATGCCAGTTTTTTGAACTGATGATACCTCGTACTGAGAACATCACACAGTGAGGGCCAAGGGCAACATCTCTTTGCCAATCACCACTGTCTGGAATGTCATTCAGAGAAAGAAACCAAAGCAGCAAAAAACACTGATCCAATGAGTTTATATAGAAGGGTAAAATGTTTGTTGGTTTTGAAAGTCACTCGGATCTAAAGAGGAGATGGATAAGGACCAATCCATTTTCTCAGGCTCAATAGATTCAAACTATTCCCAGATATTGAAGCCAGACTGCTCCATAGGTATTGGCCCCCTGGATCTGCAAACAAATTACAGCAACTTTGTCTGATAGATGATAATATAATCAAGGGATGCATGTAGCAACTCAACAAGTGACAACTCTGAGCTACAATTCTCTCCATTTATCTCTTGATATTTAAATATTCTGCAAAATCAATACATATTTAATTTTTTATGGATTGTCTCATCTAATATCCACTCTTTAAAAGACCAATTGAAGTTATGATGTTATTGAAGGAGCAGTACTTCTTAGATATCCTCATAGTTGTGCTCATTGCAGTTCCATGATCACAAAATTAAAATTAAAAACTTGCCAAGAAAACAGGAAGACATGTCCAGGCAGCCATCTGGATTCAACAAAATTTCAACCAACATCTAAAAGTGGAGATCATTACACGAGCATAGAGGCAGTATACAAAAAATTAATTATAAACTCTTGATTTAGGAAATGTTATAGTGAAAATGGACCAATTTTTGTTAAGTCTGATTGGTTCTGAATATTGGAGAATGCAAAAGCTTATACTTCATCTGGATTCCTCTTTTAACTTCCAGAAAAGAAAGTAAAAAAAAATCAAAAATCAAAGGATGGTAATAGGAAGATAAATGCAACATCATCGCCTTATGCTTAATGTCTCTGAAATATCTATCCTATTAGTTATATTAAGTATTACTGAGGGCATAGAAAGACTAGGTGGAGAGGATTACTTCTATAAAACCAAAGTTCATCTATGAGCATATCCAATGGATGAACTTTGCCTTTACCATCCATGCATCCATGGACCTAGACTGGTCTGACAGTGAATCTACACTATTTACTCAATAACCTACCCTCCAAAAGAAAGTTCGAAACTACTATCATATTCCAATAAGGACTTAGCTTCTTAAGAGCTCTGAATTGGATTTTGGTAACTATCATCTTATATTTAGGCCTCCTTCACAGCATTACCCATGATACATGAAGATCCAAGACTACAACAAATCTGAGCAAATGGCAAGCAAAATGCTGGGCAAAATTGCCAAGGGAAGAAATTGCACTTTATTTGTTGACATGGTTATATACCTAGGCACATTCCAACATTAGACAAATATTTATTCTGTGCATTTGTGCATCTGACCCAGTTTTCCCAAACTGCAACGACTAGCAGAAAAAGGAAACACAACAGTGAGGCGAGTTTACAGTATAAGGTTCAGAAACATTATTCAGTGTTTTTTAATAAGTTTGTCCTTTCTGTTTAAATCAGGTCTCAGAAGAATAATATAGCATTTTGGGAAAAAGATACAGCTAAGCAACCCCATTGCTGAAGCCAGAATGGAGAAGATCTCCACCACCACCATGTACTTTCCCTTGGTGCTCAGATAGGTAGGAACAAATGTTACCCAAACGCTGCAAAACACCAGCATGCTGAAGGTAATGAATTTGGCTTCATTGAAGCTATCAGGTAACTTCCTAGCTAGGAAGGCTACTGTGAAACTGATAGCAGTTAAGAACCCCATAAAGCCCAGAACAGTATAAAACATGATGGTTGATCCTTCGTTACATTCTAGTACAATTTCTTCAGCCATGGAGTGCATGTCTGAATCTGGAAATGGAGGAGAAATTGCCAGCCATGCAACACAAATTGTGACTTGTATCAGAGAGCAAGAAAGGACAATGGAGTTGACCAGCCTTTTCCCCACCCATTTCTTTATTTGGGATCCTGGTTTGGTGGCCATGAAAGCAAGGACCACTATGGTTGTTTTACCCAAAATGCAAGAAATGGCTACAGAGAAGATGATGCCAAATGCAGTTTGTCGCATGAGACATTTGACTTGATCAGGTTGTCCAATGAAAAGAAAACTGCAGAGGAAAGAGAGCTGGAGAGCAATAAGAAGAGTATAGGTGAGATTCTTGTTGTTGGCTTTGACTATGGGGGTTTCCCACTCTTTAATGAAGATCCTCAGCACCAAAGCTGAAGTTACAAAAAAAAAGACAGCTACAGTGGCCAAAGTGATTCCCAAAGGTTCTTCATAAGACAAGAACGTTATATGTTTTTCGATGCAAAGATTGTGAGCTTCATTTGGATATTGATCTTTTGGACATTGGAAACAGTCAACTGCATCTGCAAAAGAAAACATTAAAGGACTGTTTATTGATCAGAATTTCAGAGCTGAATCATGGCTTAGTGCTTAAGATGCTCGTCTCCCACTTGGGTAGTTGACAATTCAATAGTGGCAGATGTTTCTCTTAGAGTGTAAAGAAAAACTATCTGCTGCCAACTCCACATGGTGTCAGGAAAGGCATCCAGCCAGTAAATGCTCAGTTCCATCCAGTTGCCCTGACTCTACTGCAAATTATGGGATTAATGTCATAATAAGGAAGTTTTTATAACAGAGTTGAAATGAGGAAACTTTGGTGCTATCTGAGATCAGTTGTTTTCTTGCAAATATTTCATAATGGTAACATCATCAGTGCTAGTCAACATCATTACTGTTGAACTGATGATGTTACCTAGTTTGGTAATGAAATATCTGCAAGAATATCACCAAGTTCAGAGAGCACCAAGGACTGCTCAAAGAAAACAGTGGCCCATAGAAGCTATGAAAGCAACTCCATTTATTTCTCGTTAATTATGTCCATTTTACTTGCATTACAGTATTAAAAATTAAGAATGGGACCATCCACATGCATAAAAGTACCCTGTATATGTTTGGTTAAACAGACACCAAGAGTGTTGTTTGTATCAATCTCAGTGTCATGTTGGAAGATGGAAGGAAAGTGTAACAGAAAATTTTGTAATGGGTCAGAGTTTCCTAGTTTATTTTCCAGAGAAACCATGTGATACTTATTTTTGAGCTCATCTGGACATTTTACTTAATGACTGATGTATGTTATGGAAAATAAGTCAAAATCTATCACTTTTCTTCTGAATAAGTGACTTCTCTACCTTTAAAAAGAGAGAACCTAATTTTTGGAGAAATTTCTTTTAATTCAAAAGCTTTTTCATTTTGAATATTCTTCATGCTCAGGTGACAAAAGTTTTAGCAAGAATTCCAGTTATTTATAAGGGTTAAAGATCCATGAAGATTGTAGTTCATTATCAGATCAACAGAAGGACCAATATTTATGTTTCATATCTATTTATGTGCTTGCTTCTCTCCAGCAAGGACAAGCTCATTTTCTTGCTTCTTTACACATCATATTCAATTCACAACAAATCAGTCAATCAAACTGTCCGAATCCTGACCATGACTCAGACACATCTGGACAAATAACACCCACACCAATTTAAATGAGCACATGAGCACAATTCAAAGCACACTGAAGGTGTTTCCCTGAATGGAGATGAAACATTTGCAGCCAAATCGCCAAGCTTGGAGAGCAAACTAACAGCTCAACTATCAACCTGAGCAAGTAATATTCAAACAAATCTTATCTAATACTGAGGTTATCTTGCTTCAATGAGGTCAACACTCCAAATTCTGAATAAATGATTACATTTTAGAACAATACCATGCAGAGTAAACACAGATAGGTATACAATATTGCTGGTGACAATTAATAAGTCTTCTCATTAAGCACATCTTACCTAATCTGTTTGAAATTTTCCCCTTTGCACAAGGAAGACAATCATAGCAGCAAAAGGGCTTCTCATCTATTTTTTTCTTGAGGTAGCCTGGATAACAATTTTCGTTGCATACAGAAAGTGGTAATGCCTATTCAGAAATGACATCAGGAGAGAGTTCAATAGTTGTACTTTATACACTCATATTTCACTCTGTATATGATATTCTGACAAATCTGCATAGCTTTTCGAGAAATTCTTTATACTGTATGGGATTCAATTCAACGTATTATTAGATAGGTACATTTAATGAATGCCACCATAATAATGTGACATTGTCTATATGTCCTCATGGAACCATATATTTCCTATGTATTTCCTATGTATTTCCCATGTATTTCCATGGAACTTTAGAGGTTACCTTAATTGTTCAAACTGGACTCCCCTCAAATTCCATTTTGCTCAATCTGATTGGTAAATATCTATGAGGATTCTCAATCATCCAGGTCATGGTTGTCCCAAAGGGGCTTTTCAAAGTCAACGAACGTTCGTGGCTTTTTCCTTGAAAATGTTTGAGAAACATTCAATTCCTTGAGAACTGAAGAAGCTTCTTGGATCAGAAGCAAAGTATTTTCAAGAAAATAAAAGTCCAGTTGCCTTTGAAAAGCACCTTTGAGTTGAATCTGATTGGTAATTTATCCCACACTTTATAGGTGAAATTAAACTTTGGAATTATCTGCATTTTCATTGAGTCCAGTCCTTTCTGCCAAAGAGGTCCTGAAAAGAAATACTGCAGAGAATTTACTCATGGGATACAGAGTTCCAGTTGCATCTAGTCAGTCTTGTAGAAATTATGAAATAGACCATGTTTTAATGGTGATAAATTTGCAAGTTAAATTTAGAAAACTAAAGAAAATAGTTGGGATTTTAAAATATCTCTTAGACAATATGCCGTTGGAATATAATCAAATTATAAGGTAGCAATGGACAGGAATAAGATATTTCAACCAGTACAGTATCTCAGCATGTCACTTGTTTATTATTAAATGATTTTAAGCTTTTATAATTCAAAGATGGCTCCCTATGTAGGACAACCTGAAAATGACAGCTGGTAATTGTGTACATTCAGGAATGCCCATAGATTTCTGGAAAGACAAGTTTAATAACGGAACACCTGTGCAATCTGATCTCTGCTCTTTCATTTTTCGTCATATTTTATTGCTAATGAGTCACTTAAATGATAAAAGTGATTTTTGAATATGGGAGGATTTGAGACAACCTGATACATGAGTAGGAAATACCTGGTTGAACATGGTCGGCCAGATGATGTTTTCTTCAGAAATCATGAAAGACTCTTCTGGAGAAGTCAATGGGTCTACTTTTCCAACTTTGACTTTAAGAAATGTTTTGTTTGGGAATGTGATCCAATTGATGATATCAAATCCAGTTCCCAATTCCCCCTTTTCATTAAAGAAAACTGTTTCCCCAACACTGTTGTTAAATAAGACTGTTCTCAGGTAAGGATGGAGCTAAATGGAAGCAAATCAAGCACAAATATTTGTGTTTGAATTATGTTGATAATTTAGCTTTGTGTTTTAACTGTGCACAGTGTCCAGTGTTATATGAATGAGATGGGCGGCCATATAAATTCAATAAATAAATGCAATTGATCTGGAGAAATAAATACCCACACCAATTGTACACAACTACCATTTAGAAATTCCTAATATTACTGTGCAAGTGAACCATAATATTAATAAGCATATTATCTTCAAGTAAAATGGTTTGACAAAATTTTAAACTGAATTATGAAGCTGTTGTCAGGAAACATGAAACATGAATTTGTGTAAACTATGTGGATAATGAACCTGAAATGTACATGTTTTGCAATCATAAAATCACCTGATGGCATCAGAGAAGATTTTATTCTTACAATTTTATTTTATTTTATTTTATTTTACAAATTGATTGCTTGATCAATCCGTCATTGTGATTTCTTTTATTATTACCTGCCATCTTTCTTCCTTGATAATCATCAGCCTTCCGTGGTCCGCCCTTGCTCTGTGTTTGTATTTGGATGAAAACATGGCTTTCAAGGCATGTGCCACAGCATAGATTGCATTATAAACGCTGTAACTCTGCCCAGTCATGGTGGTCTCAAAGACAGAATTAGGAAGAGTCTCCAGCTTCTCCTCTCCAGTGCACAGCACTCCAGCATTCTCATCTAACTTATCTTTAAGGAAAAAACATTCAAATGCCTGCTCCCAGAACAATCTTGTTAAATGATCACCTTTTTCTGAAGTAGGGCTTTTCTTCTGCAAGAATGGTTTGAACCCAGTCACCTCCTTGGAAGAAACTGCAAAAGACATGGCACCATGAAGAAAATCCAAAGGAAGTATTTTTTGAAAAGGGACTGATGTGAACTCCATCTGGGCTGGCATGATCCAAACTTTGTCTTTTCGCTTTACTGGTATATCCTCATATTCTGAAAGATAGGGAAATATTCTGAAAATGCCAATGACGTGGTTTTCACCGTAGAGGATCACAACATTGGCAGTGCTGTTCATGACAACCTTGTACATGGCGACATAATCTTTAAATACATATTCAATGTGATTAGAATAAATGTCTTTGGGCAACTCTTGCGTGAAGTCAAAGCAAATACCTTTCTGGAGAAACAGTGTAAGGGCATTCTGTACAAACCTCTCTCCACTCTCATCAGGTTGGGAAATCAGCCCTATCCATACCCACTTTAAATGCAACAGCAGCTGAAGAATCCCCTTCGTCTGAAGCTCCTCATTTGGGAAAAAATGATGAAAGGAAACTGTGTGTTCGCTATTATCATTCATTGGAACAGATCCATATAGAAGCTAGGGAAAAAATGATTTAAAATAGTTGGGAATTAGAGTCTGTGATACAGATTGTGTTCCTCACCAGCTTCAAGAAAAATATAATCTAGAAAGAAATCAGTGTTTCCTTTAATTTGATATTTGAATGCCATAGATTTGACAATCTGTTGATTCAGTAATCCCTGAACCTTAATAGTATAACAGAATAACACAGTTGGAAGGGACCTTGGAGGTTTTCTAGTCCAACCCCCTGCTTGGACAGGAAACCCATCCATTCTAGAAAAGTGACTATCCAGTCTCTTCTTAAAATGTTCCAGGAATGAAGTACCCACAAATTCTAGAAGCAAGTCATTCCACTGATTAATTGTTCTGTCAGGAAATTTCTCCTTCATTCTAGGTTGGTTCTCTCCTTGATTACTTTCCATCCATTGCTTCTCGTCCTGCCTTCATATGCTATGGAGAATAGTTTGACCCCTTCTTCATTGTGGCAGCCCCTTAGATATTGGAAAACTGCTATCAAGTCACCCTTAGTCCTTTTCATTGAACTAGACATACCCAATTCCTGCAACTAGTCTTTTTATGTTTTAACCTCCAGTTCCCTAATCATTCGCTGCACTCTTTCTAGATTTATAAATCTCCTTGATTACTTTCCATCCATTGCTTTTTTAATTTATTTGAATTACCATGAATAACATTTATAGGCAGGAAGGAGGGAGGTTGTGAGGGGCGAGGGAAGGAAGGAAGGAAGGAAGGAAGGAAGGAAGGAAGGAAGGAAGGAAGGAAGGAAGACCAGTGTTCAGTACAAAGATCAAGATAACTATTACTCAATCAGGTCCATGAATTCTTAATATTTTTACTAAAGCATTGTAGGAAAATGGATGCATGACAATACAGTATATTGACATTTCTCTTTAGTATATTTGTAAATATGTCAAAGAATCATTGTATATTAATTGTTCAGATGATTCAGATTGAGGAATAAAGCAAGTATGAAAAAATATCCATCTCATCTGCAAACACATAGTTTGGACTGCCATTTTAATTCCACACCACAAAATATAATATTCAAGGAAAGAAATTATTATTCATTGTTTTCTAAACATGGCTTTATAAAAGTAAAAAAAAAGGTGAGTTCATTCAGAGTTGCAGGATTATCGTAACTTACAATAACATAACTACTAGTATTCATGCTTTTGTTTTCTAGTCTAGACAATCTCCAGAGCTGACATTCATCATAGATTCAGATTGAAGAATAAATCAGAATAAAATTAACTATCTCTTCTGCAAACACATGATATGTTGTTCATCATTGTATGGACTGCCACTTTATTTCCAAATCACAAAAAAGTAATAAAAAGAAAAGTTGGTTTATTTTTTTTATAAACATCACTGTGTAAAAGAAACAAATGGGAGGTAGTTTAAGACTTGCAAGACTCTGTTATTGTAACCTTACAATAAAAGGATTATTAATATGTGTGATTTTGGTTTCCTACCCTGGACAATCTGAAAGGGATGACATTAACCTTGAAAGTAGGAGAACACTTTCCCTTCCTCTGCCTTAACTTTCCAGAGAATTGGGGAGGAGTGTGTGTTAATCCTGAGATGCTTTCTCAAAGAACACTTCTGGTTTAGTCTCAAATTTCTTTTATTAGACTTTTTTTTAATAGGACTGCAGTTCTTCCTCCCACCTTTCAAGGTTATTCTTACAGTGTATACTTAGTCCAAGAAAAAAAAATCTCACCTGGGGCACCTTGTAGACATTCAAGATATTTGCCACTAAGGGACAGATGTTAGAGTTAGGTCCTGCAATAACAGATACTGCCCAGTCCTTGGCATCACACTTATAGTTGGGGATGAATCTGCCACGTGTTGAGAGAAGCTCCATTGAAGCCAAGTAAGTCAATCCCGCCATGTAATAACTGTTAGAGATGTCAATACCCAAGCTCATGTTGGATAATATAGGCTTATTCTCATTTATCTCCTTTGCAGCAAAAACTAAGGCCAGGATATGTTGGTAGTTCTGCAGGAAAAATCTGCATTGAAAGATATATTGTGTGGATCTAGGCAGGAGGTTATGATTCTTTTAATTCATCATCAAATTTTTTTACTAGAAACAGATAAATTGCTGGAAGATAAACGATCGTATTAAAACCCATATGTAATTCTTATATATATATATATTTAGCCTTATATTTTCATCTTCTTCTTGCGTATGTTTTATGGCGGATATAGGCATAAAAAATGTGTTTGGAGTAAACCTGTGTACAAATGTTATATATTATTTTTAGATCTTAGATATTTTAGATATTTTTAGATGATAGATCTTATCCCAATAAAAGTCACTGATGTTTAATTAAGTCAGAGATGCTCTAAGTCTGTGTTCCATGCATGCTCAACAGCTGTTTGGAAAATAATTCAAAGCATGCAACTGTTCCCTAATATTAAGTGAAAGAACTAAATGATTAACATAGTTTCATCTACAAATAGTACAGCACCTTGATAGTACATCACTAACGATTCATTTAACAGTAAAAAAACTAAGAAAATCTCAATATGGAATTTGAATAAAAATGCCAGTGGGAGAGTTGTCATAAGTGTGTTTGTGTATTTATTTGCCAGGGTAACCTATTAGAGAAAGATATATGGTTTAAGATATGCTATAGTTAAGAAGAGAAAGTCTTTACATGAGCTCATCAACCAGTTCTTCAGATGGGTGCCTTGTGAAACCAACTGGATCCGATATCACGTAGAACTGAGAGAGTATCCCAGCCATTATGAAATCTCCTGGCAGAAAATACTTGTGCTTAATAAAGGGAAGTTTCCCCACAGAACATGTTTTAATAAGGCATGTAGCTCCTGACATTAACGTTGACAACATTGCCATCACTACCATGGAAAATTCCATCTTCTTCAAGAAAACACTTCTCATTACATAAGAACCAGTTCTATCTGTAAGAATGAAACATAAGGGGGAAAAACTCTCACTTATTAGAATAAATATTCTTTCTAAGAAAAAAGGTTGTTACATCTCTGACATTCTGATCCCACAATTAAGAGACCCTTTCAATCTTGAGCTGTTCTTTGGTGCTGTGCCTGAGAATTCCTGAAAGAGTTGAGAAAAAAACCACATTAGTAAAATTCTTTGGGTAATTATAGGGGAAATCAGTGAATGTTTGGTGACGCTCCTTGGAGCCTGTGGAAAAAGTAGAATGATGATATGTATGGGCTAGGAAAAAAAAGAACTCATAACTGAAAACTGTAAAAGAGATAGAGAAAAATAATGAAAATTCAGATAAAAAAATGCTAGTTCTGTAGCTGTAAACTTTAAATTCTCTGGAACAAAACAACTATCTGACTTTGACCCGTTAGAGCATACATTAAAGCATGATTTTTTTCCCAAAGAGCAAAAAAAGAAATTGACCCATAATGTTAGAGAATCCCGCCCACCTTTATTTATCTTTTTGATAGGTCTTTAAACACTTTGATTATTGTATTTGTAATGTAATTAAAAGGCTTGAAGGAACGTTGTCCATGGGGTCATGATGGGTCGGACAGGACTTCGCAACTATCAACAACAATGTAATTAAATCATGACATTTCTTTTTATGCTTTCTAATGGAAGCAGGCATGTGAGCTGTGCAGAGTCCTTTGGGATGGGAACAGTGTGTAATGTCAACTGAATATGCAAATAATAAATGAATACCATTGGAAACATTTTTTTCAGTACTGTTTTTATTGCAAAATAAAAAGATAGCTTGGCTCTTTTCACTCATTTTAAATGATTTTTTACTCCATATCCTCAAAGTCACACGGTGTGAACCATATATTTTTTGTTTTGCTTGATGAGTGACATGAGCCTCCACCAATCAATTTATCCACCATTGATATTTTACAGCCCTGCAACAAATCTCTTTATCAATCATATATGGGAAGTAAAAAAAAAATAATCTACCAGTCACAGGACTCCTTCCTCATTAATTGTGAAATTTGATTGCTGCTACAAATGTTGCTCCTTTTATCAAATACAAAAATATAACCTGAATCAGTTTCTTTGTAGTAAAGAAATAATGGTCACTTGAAATTATTTATTTTTATTTGTCCTTTACCATTACTTCTTTCACTACATGGACAAACAAATTGAAGAATATGATAATATACAAAAACTAAGATAAGAAATTCACTTATTTATAAAATTTAAATCCATCCATCCTTCCTTCCTTCCTTCCTTCCTTCCTTCCTTCCTTCCTTCCTTCCTTCTTTCCTTCCTTCCTTCCTTCCTTCCTTCCTTCCTTCCTTCCTTCCTTCCTTCCTTCCTTCCTTCCTTCCTTCCTTCCTTCCTTCCTTCCACCCTCTAGGACCCATCAAATAAATCTTTCTAGAAAATAAGAACCATAGTATGCCACTTTTTTGAACTGATGATACCTCTTACTGAGAACATCACACAGTGAGGGCCAAAGGCAACATCTCTTTGCCAATCACCACTGTCTGGAATGTAAATCAGAGAAAGAAGACAAACCAGCAAAAAACACTGATCCCTGAGTTTATATAGAAGGGTAGAATGTTCGTTGGTTTTGAAAGCCACTCGGATCTAAAGAGGAGATGGATAGGGACCGATCCATTTTCTCAGGCTCAATAGATTCAAACTATTCCCACATATCAAAGCCAGATGCTCCATAGGTATTGGCCCCCTGGATCTGTGAACAAATTATAGCAACTTTGTCTGATAGATGCTAATATAATCAAGGGATGCATGTAGCAACTCAACAAGTGACAAGTCTGAGCTACAATTCTCTCCATTTATCTCTTGATATTTAAATATTCTGCAATATCAATACATATTTAATTGTTTATGGATTGTCTCATTTAATATCCACTCTTTAAAAGACCAATTGAAGTTATGATGTTATTGAAGGAGCAGTACTTCTTAGAGATCCTCATAGTTGTGCTCATTGCAGGTCCATGATCACAAAATTAAAATTAAAAACTTGCCAAGAAAACAGGAAGACATGTCCAGGCAGTCATCTGGAGTCAACAAATTTTCAACCAACATCTAAAAATGGAGATCATTACACGAGGATAGAGGCAGTATACAAACAATTAATGATAAACTCTTGATTTAGGAAATGTTATAGTGAAAATGGACCAATTTTTGTTAAGTCTGATTGGTTCTGAATATTGGAGAATGCAAAAGCTTATCCTTCATCTGGATTCCTATTTTAACTTCCAGAAAAGAAAGTTAAAAAAAAAAATCAAAAATCAAAGGATGGTAATAGGATGATAAATGCAACATCATCGCCTTATGCTTAATGTCTCTGAAATATCTATCCTATTTGTTATATTAAGTATTACTGAGGGCACAGAAAGAGTAGGTGTGTGGGTTTTCACGTGCCCAGCAGTCTCCCGGCACCAACAAAACACCAAAACACATTCCTTTGCACCGCACGGCACTTCTTTGTTTACTGCAATCTTTTTTTACTTTCGACTTCCTCATACCTTGGCCTACTGCAGCTGATGACAGCCTAGCAGGCCAGATAATCCAATAACTCCAACATCTCCTACTTTTCTGTTTTATTTAAAATAAGGAGGGAGTGCTTTATACGAAGTCATCCTCAGTGTCGCTTGGCAAAGTGAAGGCCGGTTTGGTTAGCAGGGGTAGCTGAACTGCAGTGATAGGTGTAGTTACTAAATTGACCTGTTGATGCGTGACAGTTCCTGAGGAAAATTTTTTAAACATCATAAACAAAGAGGGCAAACATTGAATACAACAACATATCAAAACTAAAATAACCACAATAGTTATAATACCAGAAACCAATGATCGCAGCCAGGGTCCGTCGGGTAGCCAAGACCATAGGGTATCCCAAATGTTTATTGCGCCAGATCCGTCGGATTGTAACGGATTATGGCGAACCATGTCTTCCATATGCTCAATGGTACCTGTGATATTGGCTTTATAATCAGAGATATAAACACAACAATGAGAATGGATTAAGGCACATACTCCTCCTTTCGAGGCAAGGATAATGTCTAAAGCATAACGATTTTGCAGAACAATCTCTCGTATTTCTGCCACTTCCTTGTTTAACAATTTGGTAGTCTGAATGGTAGCGTTGAACATGTGCCTAGTCCAGTTATTTAATGCATAGATGTCTTTGTAATTCATGGCTACCCCCAAAGATGGAAATATAGATCGTGCAACTTGCATTCCTGTACTGCCAGGTCCTCCCAGGCCATTTTCTAGATCTCTTCGATTGCGCAAACGGCCTGAAGGTGGCTGATCTGAGACAAAAACTGAGGGAGCAAGAAAGCCCAATGTACAACGGCCGGACCACCGTGGAGGTATACGTTGATATGCTCTCTGGCCACAAAGCATCCAGACGTTACTTAATATATTTGTAGTCATGCTGGAGCTTTGCACAGTTTGGCGAACCATGGCTCTTACAATACTGCAAAGGAAGAGTGTGGACATCGTGTCTGTGTTGCCGGGGTGACATCCTGTTGATAGCGAGCATCCAGTTATTTGATAGGTACACATATAATCAGAAAAATCATCAAGGGATTCAAAAAGAGGAATTTTCTTAAAGGGATGTGGTCTAGTCATGTTGTTTGAAAGTTGAAATGTGATGTCACAATATGGGTATCTGCCTACTAAAACAGAGTTTTTAGCAGTGTTCTTATATTCCCAACAAATCGCTGCCTTTTCCTGGATTCTGCTTCCTATTGTGTATACCATATAATTCACCATAGCATTGGAAAGGGTCCCTCTAGACCAGGGAAATTGTTTCCAACCAGTTGTATTAAAAGGCACCGCATGCATAAAAAGTCCCCCCTCCTCCAGGGTTGGAATATGCATGCAGATCCAACACTCAGTCTTGTTCAAAAGGCGAGAAATATTCTGCACATCTTTCATAAAAGAGTTGTGGGCCCAGGGTCCATGGTCATCTGATGTCTGGTTAGGATGGTGGAGATGGAACCAAATAAGGGCGAACACAGCGAGCTGGAGTCCAAATGATTTTGCCATGATCATCTACCGCAGCGTAGCCTCTCCCCCAGGTAATAAGCTCTACAGGACCTTTCCACGTGGGGTCTGGAAGCCGTCGATAGTAAACTGGAGGTCTTGAAGTAGGGGGAGGGATTGTTGAAAAATGACGAGAGGCAGCTGTTGATGGTGGATCGCCCGTCAGATTTAAAAAGTTCAGTGTATAAAGGCACAAGTTAAGGATGTTTTGCACTGCTGGGAGGCCAGGGGCAATTTTCCCCTTTTCATTTAAATATCGATTGAGAGCTGTTTTTAATGTTTGATTTGCTCGCTCAACCAAGGCTTGACCTTGGCTATTATATGGAATGCCAAACTTATGAACAATGGACCATTTTGTACAGAATTCTGCAAAAGCAGAGCTAATATAAGCAGGTCCGTTGTCTGATTTAAGTTCTTTGGGGCGTCCCAACAATGCAAATGACTGAATACAGTGATTGATAACATGTTTAGTGGCCTCACCCCTCTGGGGGGAAGCCATAATGAAGCCAGAATATGTATCAATAGAAACATGAAGATGTTTCCACGGGGCAAAGGGAGGATATTGAGTAACATCCATTTGCCAACTTTGACAGCTCTCCAAGCCACGAGGATTTACTCCAAGTGGTATTGAGTGTGCTTGCTTGCTACAGGTTGGACATTGCTGAACGATGGCAGCAGCTTCAGCAGCTGAAAGATTAAATTGTTTGATTAATGCTTTCTTATTCTGATGGAAATAGGAGTGACTTTCCCAGGGGGTTAAAAAGGTGAGTGGCATATTAAGAGGTGTTTGTGAGGCGGCAGCATCGGCAACATCATTGCCTTCTTGGAGTGGGCCTGGAAAAGGCTGATGGCTACGAATATGGGCAACAAAAAATGGGTGCTTCCTATCGTTTATGAGATGTTGCAAGTCCAAAAATAAAGTTAACAGATCCATAGAGACATTTGGTGCCAAATAAGAGTCAAAAATGGTTTTGACAATTTGGGTAACATATAAACTGTCCAGGATCAAATTAAAGGGTTGATCTTTAAAATGAAAAAATGCCATTGTGGCTGCCACTAGCTCAGAGCGCTGAGCTGACGTCTGTGGGGGGCTGATTTTTGTATGCCACTTACCCTCCTCTTTCCAAGCACAGGCTCCATGAGTCTTGCTGCCGTCTGCAAACACCGTTATTGCTTCTTTTAAAGGGAAAGAAGCACAAGGAGATTGCCATTTAAATGGGATTGTTTTTAATAAAAAAATGCGAGGATCTGATGGTGGATGACAAGACACTTCTCCTGGCCAATCAGCAAGTGCTTGCTGCAAAGATTCATAGTTGGCCAACAAACTTTCCCAAGCCGTTAGCGAACAAGGGATATATAAAAAGGACGGTTCAACGCCCCCTAAAGCCTTTGCCCTAAAGCGAGATTTTGTTATAAGCTGAGCAAAGAGTGTATGTTTCTGTGAAATGGTTCTTCGGGGTGTGAGATAAGTGGATCCATTCTACAATCATCATTTTTTTATTAGACACGATCTGAGCCAAAGCTGCTGTAGGAAGGTCAACAGTGTTAAAAATTAGCATAGAAAAGGGCATATCGGGCTGAACACGATCGACCCATACTTTTGACAATGCATGCTGAATGATGTCACAGGTTTTAAGTTGTTGTTGAGTTAACACGATCTTATCTCCTGGATTGTTTCCCTGCGTAAGAGCAGAGAACAATGGAGCCAATTGAGAGGTGATTAGTCCCATATAGGGACGGGCCCAATTAATTGATCCTAAATATTGTTGAAGTTGGACTAAGGTTGGGCATGGTGGAAGACACAACTTAGACAGCTGAGGCTGAGCGTGTGAGGCCAAAAGCTTCTGGCCCAAGTACAGAAAGGGGTGCTTAAGCTGAATTTTTTCAGGTGAAATAAAAAACCCATTTGTTTGAAAAATGGAGGTTAGAACAGGCAAGGTTGCTGAGACTGTACCTGAGGGCCCTGGAGCTGCCACTAAAATATCATCCATATAATGGTAAATTTTAAAATGAGGAAACTTTTCCCGATATGGTCTTAAAACCTGATTGACAACATATTGACACATTGTAGGACTGTTTAGCATCCCTTGAGGCAAGACAGTCCATTGATATCTGGCCGTGGGCTTGGAGTTATTCATTTCAGGCACAGTAAAGGCAAATAAGTGTTTGTCCTCTGGGTGTAGTGGAATAGAGAAAAATGCATCTTTTAGATCTATAACCATAAGGTCATAGTCTTTTGGTATCAAATTAGGATTAGGTAAACCGCATTGGAGCGCCCCCATGGGGCGAATGATCTTATTGATATTTCTAAGATCGCTTAAAATTCTCCATTTTCCAGATTTTTTCTTTATGACAAACACCGGAGTATTATAAGGACTCAATGAGGGTTCAATGTGTTTTAACTCTAATTGTTGATCTACCAATTGCACCAGAGCGGCTAATTTTTCTTTGGTTAAAGGCCACTGATCCACCCAAACTGGGGTGTCAGTCAAGAGGTTTAACTTTATTAATTGAGACATCTTAATCCAAAATTAATTTTGCATTGAACTGACTCATCAAGTCCCGACCCCACAGATTAATATGAAGTGGAAGAATGACAGGTTTAATGTGGGCAGTGACTGATGTTTCTTCCGAGGTCAGAGAAAGCCAGTGTTTGCTCACACGTGCGTGCCGGATTCCTCCCACTCCCCAAACCGACGGTGCGCTGTCGGTCTGCCACTCAAAGGGCCACTCCTCCTCTCTTATGACCGATACATCAGCTCCGGTATCTAGAATACCAAAAAAGGAGCGTCCATTGACTTGAAAGGCCATAGAGGGGCGGAACTTTTGAATTTCTTGCTCAATGGCCAAAACTTGTGGTTGTTGGGGCACAGGGACGGCAGTTGCCACTACTGTTCCCTCAAGCACAGTCATGGGAGTGTTAGGGGTAAATGCCAAAGCGACTGATGTAAAGTCAGCTGGGTCTTTCAAAAATGGCATAGCCGTTACTCCCTGCATAATAAAGTCATGGTGAGGAAACACTAACAGAGGGGTGTCACAATCAGGGGGAAAGGGGACAGACGGCCGGATTGGCAAAAAATACGACAGCCCGGATAAACCTGTGGTTATTGTCTCAGAGGCCACCAGGACAAAATGATAAGATTCAGCCTTTGAGGCGGGGCTAGCTGAATGCCCCAGCTCTAGTTTCCCGGTTCCTGGGAATCAGCGGGCATAGGGTTGGAGCAACACTGGTTTGCCCAGTGAAACCCCTTTTTACAGCACGGGCAAACGGTTTTTGGTCTGGCTCCTACTCCCCTGCTTTTATTAGCGCCCCCCCGGGGCCTGGCACTGATTTTTAAAATGACCAGGCTTCCCACAATTAAAACAGTTACCAGCTTTACCCTCAGGTTGCCCGTTATTACTTCCTGCTTTTTGCAAGGCCATAGCCAAAGTTTCCATGTTAAATGCATTGGTCCCCACAATTCTACAGGCTTGAATATAGTCTGCCAATCCTGCATCAGGTTTGCTCATTAAGGGCTGCAGGACCCGTCTACAGTCCTCATTGGCATTTTCAAAGGCAAGTCTTTTCAACAATTCCTCTTGGGCTATTCCATTTGTGATTTCCCTAGATATGGCCTTTTGTAACTGATCCACAAATTCCCCATAGGGCTGATTAGACCCTTGAAAAATCTTTACAAAAGAGCCTTTTGTTCCCCTCTGTGGATCATCAACCCGAGTTAGGGCAGCTTTTGCAGCTAGGGCTGAATGAGAATAAAACAAAGGGTTCATTGCTTGTTGAGCCCCCAGGTAAGTAAAATTTCCACTTCCAGTTAACTGGTCTACAGTTGGTGGATTACGGCCAGGCCAAGCTAAAACGATCTTTTGACATTCCTTTTTCCATTCAGATTCCCAAACCACATATTGAGAAGATGTTAAAATCATATTGAATAGCCCTTTCCAATCTTCAGGCAACAAATAAAAACTAGTAGCCATGTGACCTATCAGACCCAAGGTATAATGGCTAGAAATCCCATAACTTGATGCTGCTTGTATTATTTCTCTAATAGTTGTCATGGGGATTGTTTCATATCTGTGATTGCCTGTGATTCGATTAATAAAAACAGGCGCGCAAAATTGATATTCTTCAGGTTGCAGTTCCCCTTTTTCATGAGCTTCGGCCAGTGCCCTGGAGATGGCGCTGGCAGGGGAAGGCAGCATATTGGTACTCCTTTGTTCTTTTTCTCCCTCCTCCATTGGCGCGAATGGTTCAAAAGACACATCGGCTTGATAAACTGCCAAAGAGGATTTTTCTTCTGCACTCTGTCCCTTTTTTAACTCATTGGGCTTTTCAGAGTCATAAGCAGGCGGGGGGTCTACAGGCTTTTCAGAGTTATAGGAAGGAGGGGGGTCTACCCTCCCCTTCTCTGTTTTCATGGCATCTTCATGGATTTGGAGACATTCAATTACAATTCGCCATGTAGACAAAATTTTTGGAGGGGCTCGAGGGGATTCATGAAAATACTTTCCTAATTTAACCCACACAGACATTTTTAGGGATCCTCCTTTGGGATATGCAAGGCAATTTTGATATACATATTTTAAGAGAAGGATCAAATCCCCTTTAGTGGGAAGCGGCAAATCTTTCCCATTGTTTTTCAAAACAATTATTGATGACTTGGTCAATTCCCTAAGTTCTGAGAGGTGCACAACCTGAGGCTTAGAGAATCCTGTCCCCATACTCACGGTAATGTTTTGGGAGGGTGCTTCGTCTAGCCCTGACGACCGGCCCTGAGTTGCAGTAAGCTCTTCCGCTGAGTGAGTAAGAGGGTACCAAGAGACACGCTCAGAAACATGAATCACGTCGGGGTCACCCGTTGTGGGTTTTCATGCGCCCAGCGGTCTCCCATGGGAGTAGAAGAACAGACATGTACACGTGGTTTCCTCGGGATGGGAGCCCCGAACAAAGCCGAAGCATCCCTTTTATTGTGTTATCAGAAGGCGGGTTTATATGCACCTGGTGACCACCTTACACCAACCACATTTGTTATAACACAGCATATTAGCATGTTACACGTGCTACAGCTTTGCTTTGCACACGCTCCTATACAGCTGTTACACCCGGCACCAATAAAACACCAAAACACATTCCTTTGCACCGCACGGCACTTCTTTGTTTACTGCAATCTTTTTTTACATTCGACTTCCTCATACCTTGGCCTACTGCAGCTGATGACTCAGCCTAGCAGGCCAGATAATCCAATAACTCCAACAAGGTGAAGAGGATTACTTCTATAAAACCAAAGTTCATCTATGAGCATGTCCAATGGATGAACTTTGCCTTTACCATCCATGCATCCATGCACCTAGACTGGTCTGACAGTGAATCCACACTATTTACTCAATAACCTACCCTCCAAAAGAAAGTTCGAAACTACTATCATATTCCAATAAGGACTTAGCTTCTTAAGAGCTCAACATTGGATTTTGGTAACTATCATCTTATATTTAAACCTCCTTCAAAGCAATACCCATGATCCATGAAGACCCAAGACTACAACAAATCTAAGCAAATGGCAAGCAAAATGCTGGGCAAAATTGTCATGGGAGGAAATTGTACTTTATTTGTTGACATGGTTATAAATCTAGGCACATTCAAACATTAGACAAATATTTATTCTGTGCATTTTTTAAAAAAAAATCTGTCTCAGTTTTCCCAAACTGCAAAGACTAGCAGAAAAAGTAAACACAACAGTGAGGAGAGTTTATAGTATAAGGTTCAGAAACATAATTCAGTGTTTTTTAATAAGTTTGTCCTTTCTGTTTAAATCAGGTCTCAGAAGAATAATATAGCATTTTGGGAAAAAGATACAGCCAAGCAACCCCATTGCTGAAGCCAGAATGGAGAAGATCTCCACCACCACCATATACTTTCCCTTGGTGCTCAGATAGGTAGGAACAAATGTTACCCAAACGCTGCAAAACACCAGCATGCTGAAGGTAATGAATTTGGCTTCATTGAAGCTATCAGGTAACTTCCTAGCTAGGAAGGCTACTGTGAAACTGATAGCAGTTAAGAACCCCATAAAGCCCAGAACAGTATAAAACATGATGGTTGATCCTTCGTTACATTCTAGTACAATTTCTTCAGCCATGGAGTGCATGTCTGAATCTGGAAATGGGGGAGAAATTGCCAGCCATGCAACACAAATTGTGACTTGTATCAGAGAGCAAGAAAGGACAATGGAGTTGGCCAGCCTTTTCCCCACCCATTTCTTTATTTGGGATCCTGGTTTGGTGGCCATGAAAGCAAGAACCACTATGGTTGTTTTACCCAAAATGCAAGAAATGGCTACAGAGAAGATGATGCCAAATGCAGTTTGTCGCATGAGACATTTGACTTGATCAGGTTGTCCAATGAAAAGAAAACTGCAGAGGAAAGAGAGCTGGAGAGCAATAAGAAGAGTATAGGTGAGATTCCTGTTGTTGGCTTTGACTATGGGGGTTTCCCTCTCTTTAATGAAGATCCTCAGCACCAAGGCTGAAGTTATAAAAAAGAAGACAGCTACAGTGGCCAAAGTGATTCCCAAAGGTTCTTCGTAAGACAAGAAAGTTATATGTTTTTTGATGCAAAGATTGTGAGCTTCATTTGGATATTGATCTTCTGGACATTGGAAACAGTCAACTGCATCTGCAAAAGAAAACATTAAAGGACTGTTTATTGATCAGAATTTCAGAGCTGAATCATGGCCTAGTGCTTAAGATGCTCACCTCTCACTTGGGTGGTTGACAATTCAATAACGGCAGATGTTTCTCTTAGAGTGTAAAGAAAAAATATCTGCTGCCAACTCCACATGGTGTCAGGAAAGGTATCAGCCACTAAATGCTCAGTTCCATCTAGTTGCCCTGACTCTACTGCGAATTATGGGATTACAGTCATAATAAGGAAGTTATTTATAACAGAGTTGAAATGAGGAAACTTTGGTGCTATCTGAGATCAGTTGTTCTCCAGCATGATTGGATGGAGAATCCACGGATGGGTTGTCTTAATCTATCTGCTCCAATTAGACTAAGTCTGAAATTTAGTACCGCCCCCTCTGTGCCAACTGCACCCCAGTTTTAGACTTAGTCTCTTTGCTCTAAGATGTGTTTTTTCTTCGCTCCTGGAGCAGAAGACTGTGTATTCCTATTTTATTTCATCCCAACCTGTAGCCTAGCAGGCTGACAGGCTGACAAAACCTCCCTGGGGTGGGGGAAACTTTCCCTTTCTCCCTTTGAGAGCCTTTCAGCTTCACAATCAGCTTGAAAATTGGATTCCCAGAAGCAAGAGAAATCTCCTACCAGGGGCCGTTCCTCTGCATCAGAGGCTCCATTCTTCTAACCAGAGCCTGGAGGCCTTAGAGGCAGGGGTAAGCTTGCCAATTCACTGGGGGGCTCTGCAAGGGACGACGAGGCTCATCAGGCCTGGAGGGAGCCTTTTCTAGGTCCCTCGGCCTCAGTAGACCGCCCCAGCAGCAGGAGAAAGTTTTTGGCACCAATCCAATTTTCAGAGCCTGGAGGCCTTACTAGGCCTCGGCCTGCCTCAGCCTCTCTCAGCTCACCTAATTGTAATCCATTCGCTGTGTTAGGAGCCCAAGTGATTCCTCGGAACGAGGGCTCATTGCAGCTTAGGCCACATGCCTCAAGGCCTTCTTCTTCTAATGGCCTTTTTTTTGGGGAATCCATTCGCTGCGTTAGGAGCCCAAGCGATTCCTCGGAACGAGGGCTCATCACAGCTTAGGCCACATGCCTCAAGGCCTTCTTCTTCTAATGGCCTTTTTTTTGGGAATCCATTCGCTGCATTAGGAGCCCAAACGTTTCCTCGGAACGAGGGCTCATCGCAGCTTAGGCCTCAGGCCTCAAGGCCTTCTTCTAACTGCCGTTTTTTGGGGGGGCGCGAACTCTGCGGCCGCCATTTTGAATTGACTCACGGTGGCCATTTTGTGTGTGACTGAGGCCCAGACTGCCTGGAGTTTCTCCTGAAGGCAGTGTTCATCACCGGTGACAGAGGCTTCGAGACTACAGCGTTGAACCGGGGAGGGCCTGTTCGCTCCCAAGGGACGCGGTGCCCATTAATTCCCCGCCCACCCCCCTCAAGGGCTGAATCATCTCTGCAGGCTCCCTTGGTGAGTTACAGCGCCGAGGGGGGGCATTTTGCCAAGGTTGAGCCCAGAGCAACTCATCATGGGAGAGAAAATCAGCGAGCCGGCCAAGAGGAAACGCCAAACAGAGGCAAGTGGAAAGAACACCACCAAGCGAGCCCGGCCAAGCAGGGAGCCACAGAGGGAGGAGGAGTCCCAAAGACTGAGAGCGGCCTCCCCAGATCTGACAGGCACGATGGGAAGGTCCATTTTTGAACCCCTTTCCTCACATTGTGCCTCAGCCCCAGGGGCCTGATCTTCCCCCAGGGGAATTCCCCAATTAGATTTAACCACAAGAGGGGACTCAGGGAGGGGCACAACCAACCAGGACACCCCAGGACCCCAGGCCACGTTCACCCCCACTGCAGCAGGGCTTCGCCCTCCTGAGAACCAGGCCTTGAACCCGGACCTCCTTCAGTCCACGATAGCCCAGGCTGTGGCTCAGTTTATGGCCTCCAACACCCCACAGCCACCCCCCCAGGCCACGTATCATCCACAATCTCCAGATTTGATGGAGGATCCCTCATTGGATTTGGAATCTACAGGGGCTGAACAATCTGGCCTGATTTTGTTTGAGGACGAGGGCATCACTCCCTCTGACCCCACCCCTCCTGTCGGTCTCTTTGACCATTCATTCTTTAATTCCCTGCTACTCAGGGCCTGCACTACTGCAAACCTCCCCCAAGAACAGGAGACCCCACCTACAACGTCCAAGGGTCCCCACGCCATATACACCGAGCCCTCAGTCTCGCAGAACAATATTCCCTGCCCTCCCCTTTTTCTGAATATAGTTCAAGAACAATGGGAGAACTTAGGATCCTTCTTAAGCCCCGGTGCAGTAGAGGGAACATTATTCAATGTTGCCCGTTCTCTGGCCTCCCTATTGGAGATTCCTGAGATTGATGAGCCTTGAACTCATTGTTTCCCAATGCTAACATCCCTGGGGACATAAATGAGGCACTTAGGGCGGCGGATAAAAAGATTGACTCCGCATTGCGTAGTTCCCACCTGGCATCAGCCTGGGGAACAAAGGCGGCAACGTCCATGGCCTTCTTCGCCAGGGCTTCAGCCCTTGGGTTACGTGAGCTCCAGGACAGGATCCCTCCGGACCAGCTCAGAGCTCACCAGAATCTGGGTCCGTTAGGGGCTACATCCCAGTACCTAGCCGACGCTTCTCTGCACATGGCTAGATACACTGCCAGACCATCGCTGCAGACATCTCAGCACGAAGGCTCCTTTGGCCCAGGAATTGGCAAACAGACACCAAGACCAAGTGGCGTCTGGCCTCTAAACCTTACACAGGTGGACATCTCTTTGGTAAGGCACTAGAACCATACTTAACTGAAGGTAAGGACAAACGTAAAACTCTGGTTAACTCATGTCACAGAACAGTTACAGGAGGCTGCCTTTCGACCAGCTCCATCCTGGGACTGGGCCCAGGCATCCCTCTATTCCTTTCAGAGACAAGAACGACAGCAGGATCGTTCAGCATGCAGAAGCAGACCACAGATCCAGGCCAAGCGGCCTGTTCAAGGCCGAGGGGCCGTTCCTCTAAACGAGGCAAGTGATCTCACAGTCTCACTTCCCATAGGAAGCCAGCTGGCCCCTTATTCCAGCACTTGGGCAGTCACCACTACATATGCCGGCTGGCCCCTTATTCCAGCACTTGGACAGCCATCACTACAGATGCATGGGTGTTAGACACTGTCACGCAAGGTTTGAGACTAGAATTTTGTTCTCAACCACCTGACAAATTCTGCTCTTGCCCTATCCCAACGAGCAGGTCCAGGGCTGACTTTATGTCAGAGGCCATAGCTCATTTATTACAAATATGAGCAATTGAACCAGTACACAAGACCAAGAAGGATGAAGGTTTTACTCAAACCTCTTCGTCATCCCTAAGACTTGGGGGGCTGGAGGGCAATCTTAGACTTGAAAGATCTAAACCTTACTTGAGGTATAAGAAGTTTAAGATGCAACCACTTCAATCAATCCTGGCCAGCATCAGGCAAGGTGACTTTCTTACCTCAATAGACCTAACTGAGACATGTTTCCTAACCACCACAAATCCCTCAGATTCAGCTATGCCCACTACCAGTACAGAACCCTACCATTTGGCCTCTCATCGACACCGAGGGTATTTACAAGGTACTGGCAGTGCTCGCAGCCCACCA